ATGTTGCAGATTGTATTTGCCATGAAGAGAAGACCTAAAGAACATAAAAAGTAACATTTCCTTGCTTTTGGAATATCTTAATCTTGTAGTCCTAGGATCTACTAAAGTGAGTTTGTTTTGTTTGGTTGCTTTACAGTTACAGAATAAAACTGCAGTCCCAGTCGGAAATAGAACTATTATGTTTGCCTGAAGGCTTTTACTGCTGCCACTTTTTTTTTTTTTTTTTTTACTTTAAACATGGAAATAGGCTCATTTCAATAATTTTTTGTTGATTTCTAAGCAGCTTAATGTCCTAGCATCTGTATATCCTTTTGAGAGCTTCTTGTTTGTGTGTCTGAATGTCTCACCCATATAATTCTCTGTTATTTTCCTGTCTGTCCACTTCCATGGTATCTGTTTGAGCACTTCATTATTATTTCTTATTTATATTACTTGTAAGTGAAATTAGCTATTGCAACCTCTTACTGTCTTTCTAATCTGGGTTATTTTTGTGTGCTGGGATCTCCCAATTTGATTAAACACTAACTTTCTAACAAAGTAACACAGTATATTTTGAATTATTTTCATCTGTATTTGGTTCCTAGTTTTTAAAAACCTCATTTACATGAAAAAGGCTCTACTGATTGAGTAATTCAATTAAAAACAAAAGACAAGTATTCTTTTTTCGTTGAAAATGTAAAAATACCCAAAGCCCAATGATACTGGAAGAACATTTGAATGTTGCATAATTATTATATAGATTAAATTTCCTTTTAAATCCCAAAGGCAAGACTTCTTCGTGGGATGCATTTCTTTAGAGAAGATGTACCGTTCTGTGGTGATATTGTTCTTTGTGTGTCATTTGATTACATCCAGGTATTGGACTGCCTATAGCTGTCTGCTATTGCATTTGTCCTTGCCCCATGCATGGCGTTGACTGAGTTGTAGTTGGATGTATGTGTTGTTACCTCCGTAAATATATGGAGAAATGAAATATCTTCAGTCACTTTCCCATGTGTTATTGCTCTTCAAATGTGGTGTGACAGCAGTACTGGCAGCCTAGAGGCTTGGCAAGATGAGGACATGCCTTGCCTCTCCGAAAGGCAGTGAACAGATAGAACACACTGAAAACACTTCCAGAAAATACCTCTAGCTGTAGCCACTTACATGTGGCAGATTGGAAAGATTCTTCTTTTAACTTAAAAGCAAAAACTTCATTTTCAGGCTGAACTTACAATTGGTATGTAGGGTATTATGAATAGTAGAACTTCTCTTCTGGCATAGGGACACGGACTACTGAGTGAAATCCTACTCTTTTTAGATTGTTTGGTTCAGCACATGAATGCTGGGCATAAATCAGGACCTAGATGTATAAATCCTGAAAGCACTTTGTTATAATAGTATAGTAACAAATTTTATTGAGTGCTCATACCTCCAGATGGATTACACCCATGAATAATGGATTTTCATTTGTAAGGTTTTATTGGCTGGGGATTATTGTGACATTCCAAACTGTATGATAATGGATTTGCCCCAGTTTGGGATAACTAAATCCTGGGGGTATTTTAGCGTCTTCATTATTGTGTGGATTAACCTCTACATGGCGTGTTTTGAGGCCTAAAGGTATATAGCACTTAACTATAGTGTTTAAAAATACTTAAAACTTTTGATGCTTTTGATGAAAATTTCCTAATAAATCTTTGGGAAGCCAAATTTGACAAGAACCTCTGATGTCATGCTAACATGATTCTGCATTTTCTTGCAGAAAAATCTGGGTTTTCCTTTAGATTTTTCTGAATTCCCAAAATGATTGAATATGACGGGGTTTTTTTTCAGATCATTCATTATTTTATCAGCTGGAAAGTTATAATAAGATAATAAATACTGTGAGTATATTCACATCCAATTTAGATTTACCTACTTAAAGATCTTTGTGTATGTGCATTTCTATACAGATGCATAGAAACTCATACATGAACACACCACATAAAGAGTGCTAATGATAACTTGTAAGAAAACTGTGAAGTGTTACCCTGGAAGAATTAAGCAGGAGAAGACTACTTGAGGAAAAGATGGAACTGAGTGATATTGGTCGTCTTATTTCTGTCAAGTAATCTCAGCATCTTGCAAAGCAGGCATCTTGGGAACTGTGTAATTCCCCTGTGATTAATCTTCTAGTCAATCAGCTAATGCAGTTATGGTTTAACGTTTAGCTCTAATCAATACTTCATTAGAAAAATTGAAATATATTGTAGCTCTAAGAGTCTTGACCATGTGTATTTTCTATATAACGATAACATATATAGGTATTTAGAGATACAATTAGTAGAGTCTATTAAACGTTGCGTGTCATGTAGTTTCAGTTTTCCATATGATTTTTAATTTATCTGGAGAGAAGAAAAGCAAATATTACCTTTTAGAGACTTTAATACTATAATGTGAAAAACCTGCACGCCACTGAAGGGACTGAGTGATTTGTACATATTCTGTCCTCTGAAGTAGCAGCAAGATAATAGCTATTATTCCCAGAGTTGTGCTTGACCTCACTAATGTTACTGATGCAGCTGCAGGGGTCGGGTGTGAGTTTTATCATGGGCAGGTACTAAGATTAAATGAAAGTAGCTGTGCTGGTCTGAACTGCTTTCAAATTAAAAGAAAAACTCAACCTAGGAGGATGAGAAATGTGCTAAAATGTGACAGAGCTCAGAGGGTTGTGATCAGCATTGCAGAGTCCAGCTGGAGGCCTGTGGCTGGCGGTGTTCCCCAGGGGTCAGTACTGAGTCTGGTCTTGTTCAACATATTCATCAATGACCTGGATGAAGGGACAGAGGGCCTTCTCAGCAAGTTTGCTGACGATACTGGGAGGAGTGTCTGATACACCGGAAGGCTGTGCTGCCATTCAGCGACAGCTGGATGGGCTGGAGAGCTGGGCAGAGAGGAACTTAATGAAGTTCAACAAGGGCAAGTGTAGAGTCCTGCACCTCGGGAGGAATAACCCCACACACCAGTACAGGCTGAGGGTCAACCTGCTGGACAGCAGCTCTGCAGAGAAGGACCTGGGAGTCCTGGTGGGCAGCAAGTTAACCATGAGCCAGCAATGTGCCCTTGTGGTCAGGAAGGCCAGTGGTATCCCGGGGTGTATTAAGAAGAGTGTGGCCAGCAGGTCGAGGGAGGTTCCTTTACTCTGCCCTGGTAAGGCCACATCTGGAGTGCTGTGTCCAGTTCTGGGCCCCCAAGTTCAAGAGGGCCAGAGAACTACTGGAGAGAGTCCAGCGGAGGGCTATGAAGATGAGGAGGGGACTGGAGCATCTCTCGTATGAGGAAAGGTTGAGAGACCTGGGGCTCTTTAGCCTGGAGAAGAGAAGACTGAGAGGGGACCTTATCAACGCTTACAGATACCTAAAGGGCAGGTGTCAAGAGGATGGGGCCAGGCTCTCCTCAGTGGTGCCCAGTGACAGGACAAGGGGCAACGGGCACAAACTGGAGCACAGGAAGTTCCACTTGAACATGAGGAGGACCTTCTTTACTCTGAGGGTGGCAGAGCACTGGAACAGGCTGCCCAGGGAGGCTGTGGAGTCGCCTTCTCTGGAGATACTCAAACCCCACCTGGACACAATCCTGTGTGACCTGCTCTAGGCTAACCTGCTTTAATAGGGGAGTTGGACCAGATGGTCTCCAGAGGTCCGTTCCAATCCCTACCTTATGTGAAAAAGGTTGAAGGTGGAGAGAAAGTGCAGGGAACATTCCTGAAGTAACAACAGTTTTCTTTGTAGTAAAATTGTGCATGTAGCTAAGTTGAAAAAAATCAACTATTCATCTATCGTTTGAGGAAATACTTGCTTGTATTTGTTTTGTTAAGAACTTGAGATTTTCACAGGTAGGTGATAGAAACTGGACTTTTTTCTGTAATAATTAACTAGTACGGTTTAAGATGTGGGGTTGTTTTTTTAACATAAATGTGAGCACTCTCAACTTGTAAAGTTAACTTTGTCTTTTCATAATTTTTTTTTGGAGGGGGGCAGGAAAGAGGTGGGTCAAACATTATTGGAGACTGATGTGTCACAGACTGACACTGTCCTCCACTGTCATTTTTTTGGTGAATGGATAGTGTCTTGACAGATGAAAAATATTTATCTGTCAAGGATGTGTTTAGCTGGTGCATATAATAAGTCATTTCTTGCTGTCCCATTATAACCTAAAGGCATCTGGTTTCTAAGGGCTGTCATTTCGCTGCCTGACACTGCCGTTCAATCCTGAATGGGTTATACAGGAGGGAGTTTGTCATTTTTAAGTGATATTTTCTCTTGGGATTGGGCTAGGAAGTGTTTCTCCTCTTTCTGACCGTATCACGATTATGTATTTCAGTAGCTCTTTGTAAATCTAGAGTCAAATATGCATTAGTACTGTTCTTTGTTCTCTGTAGATTTCGTATGCTAACACATTAATGATTTAGCGACATTCTTAAATTTTATATTAGGGAATTTCTGATTTTGATGGGGAAGACAGGAGTATTCACATGATTTATCTTAAGATACCTAGTTTAAAGTCTCTGAATAGCCCTTTGCAGGCATTTCTCTTTCACCATTGATTACTTAAAGAATTTAAACTCTTATAATCTGCAAATCACATTCATTAAGAAGATGGTCATGAATAGGAGTACAGTGTACACTGAAACTTTAGTGATTGAACAGATATCCATAACAATTGAAATGTGGAGAGACTGTGTGCTCTCTAGTTGTTCTTTTATCCTTTTACTTAATGCTCGTCCATGCTTCTGAACTGCTGTCAGCCCTGCTGACATTTACAGATGGGTGAGTGCGTCTTGCATGGGTTTATTTTAGCAAAATGAAGGAGAGGTGTTCTGTCTTGGAGCCTGTGCTGTGTCCTCCTTATACCTGAAATTAATCCAAAGTGTTCAAAATCATTACTGCCATTGTTACTGAAAATAATTTCTATAATGTTACTCTGTTAAGTGTTGCTTATGTTAAAACCCCTTTTTTTTTGTTTTTGTCTTGATGCAGGTGGAAGAGGGCTGGTGGGAAGGTATACTCAATGGAAAGACTGGCATGTTTCCTTCCAACTTCATAAAGGAACTGTCTGATTCTGATGATGTTGGAACAGCACAGGAAGAGCAAGTAAAGCCAAGTAAGGAAAAAAAAAATTACTGGTGTTCTGTATGTATGTCTGTATCTTTACCACCTAACACATTGATAGGGCAGCGCATTCTTATCTCTTGCTTGAAAGTGGTTTTGAATGCCGTGTTCTTAATTTGTGCTGTGAAAGGGTCAAATGATGATAAATGTGTACTTGCAATGCTACCTGAGTTGTAATATTGGCAAAGCTCCCTGAGCTGTGTTAAGACTTGCCGAGCTGCAACAGACCAAGAAGAGAGAAGGCAGTGATGATAATTGGATTTGTATTTCAAAATTAATTACAAGGGCTTTTTTGGTTTTAGATATGGAAACTGAGCAAAGTAACCAAACATCTACAAAGTGGCTGTGCTTATTTAAACAAGGGATTAAAGTGCCATGCCTTCTGTAATGACTCCAGTAGATTGAGGGATTCATAATTATTGGTGTGGGACATGCGGCACTTTTTCCCTCCAGGTGCTGAGCATGTTACTATCACCTCCGTCACCCACTGCCCCAGCAGCCAAAGGGAAAAAGGCCAGAACTGGGACATGGACTTTGTTCTCTCACTTACAGTGGGCCAGTACTGCTGCAGGTGAAAAGCATGTTTGGTACCTAAGTTTGCAATAGTATAAGCATGGTAGTGGGTTGTCCTATTTATAAATTCCCTTGGAGAATAACCTGAACCAAAAGTATGCTGTTATATGAAATGGACACTTGTTGGTCTTAATGTTTTTTCTGTTCTTCAAACAGATGTTCTTTTTATTTCCTAATTCAGTAGTCAATTCTGAATCTTTAGTGAAAAGGAAGAAAGTCGATTGTATTTACATATTTCAGGCTAATTCCACAGTACCTGCCAAGGTCTTCCTATTTTCAGCACTGCAGGTATTCATTACTATGTAGTGTTCTGAGATCTCTGAACAAACAAAAGTGAAAGGGCTCGAAGATCTTTGTAAGCTTATTGCAGCTGAAATTTACCGAAGCCCTTATAGTTCACTGTCAGCAAGAGGTAGAAAGTTATACTTTCGAGTTTTTTCATTTTTTCTCTCATTTTTCCATTTAGGGCAAATTTATCACCTTTATTCCATCCCGCAGAAATAAGATCCTAAAAAACTTGACTTTTGCAATGATGAAAATTCTTTGTATTGTTTTTGTAATGCAGTGCCTATTCATGTGTAGTGGCACTGGTGACCTAGTCTTGTGGTCACTGCTGCTAAAGGTATTTACAGGTAACGTTCCTTCAGACTGGAATGAAAATATTTTTAAGGACGTTAACAATTTTAGTGTGATGGGAAGGGTAAAGGTGATTAAGTGAAGTTGCGCATTTCAGTGAGATTGCAAACTGCTTTCTGTAACTTGTGTGTGCTATCACGAATTTTGTTCATTATAAACACAATGAGTCTTGGAAGAACTAATTGTGTAGATGTAGTTTCAGTTCTGGATTCTATAATGTTCGGTACTCTATAAATGGACAAGGTAAATGATACTGTTCAGGATGGAATACCCCAATTTTATCTGTATGAGTGAATGAATATTCCTTCCTTAGGTAATTTGATAATATTTACTTTATAATAAACATCCTAAAAATGTCTTTTAACAAAAACACATATTGGAGTGTGTAAAAACAGCCAGAAAGCATTAGCTTGTTTCGTTGACATCCATAATGTCACATGCTTAGTTCAAATTCAGTTTCGTGTGCTGGTTCTGTCAGTGGAGTGTAAAGCCTGTGATACTTGTATTGAGAAGATATCAGTAACACAGACATCATTTTTGTCTCTGTAACTAAATTGAAGATAACGGTAGTTGAGAGATGGGTTTTCTTCTTTCTTGTATGTAATTTAACTCTTTGTAGGTGCTTTGTGGCTAGCTAAGACAATGTGTTATTAGGAGCTATTTATAAATAGTAAAATACCTATAAAACCGAAGAACACTGTAAACCTCCTCAGAGAGAGACAAGGACTCAAGGAATGTTGAGATTCTTTTGGGGGTTTTAATGCTTTTTTATTTATTTTTCTTAATGTAAAACCATCAATTTAAGAACTGCATTGCCCTAGCAGAATTGTGGGAAATATGCATCAACTCAGTTCTTTATATGGTTTATGTAATTGTTACAGATGTTGCTCTCTAATACATGGTGCTTTATGAGGCATTATTCAGGTACGCTGACTATCTGAATGTGAAAATCTCCATAATGAGATTGCAAAAAATTTCAGCAAGTTTATACAACTGAGTAGGAATGATAATCTCATTCCAAGTGTCTGTGCTTAGTCTTAAAACATAGTAAAATAAAACCCGGACAAGTAAACCCTGGAAGATTTGGGCATCAAGCTAGCATTATTGTTGAAATACTCTGGGTAGTATCTCAAAAGCATGTACTCATAACTTTAGATCAGCTTCATCACCCTTGGGTGGCAAGATGTGTCAGGACTTCAGATCTTCAATAACTCCTTTTTGATTCTCTGGAAACATTGTTTGAATACGTCTGTATCACAGGACTTTGTAAGACAGAAGCCTTGAATATGAATTCTAGTTTTTTAAGTTAGCAGTGAGGTGTGAGGGGCTGTACCTGCACATTGAACTAGAACCTTGGGCAGCCACTGAGGTTCTACACAGCTTCTAAAGGAGCCTGGAAAGGGTTGGGGTATGGCTCTGCAATCTTGAGCGGAGCCTTGAACTCTTCAGCCCAGCTTGTAAAATGGGTAAAGTAATACTTGGCAGGTGTACTGTGACACTTGAGAAGGTATCATGGGGTCTTTGGACAAGGGGCACTGTGCAAACACAAGAGTATTTTTTAGTTAATAGACAAATGTAAGGCTTCAGTTAAGCTTAGTTAAACTCAACCTTTTAATCACATTTTACTGACCCTGTCTAAAGAGAGCCTTTTTAAAAGGGCAAATGTAACTTTTGGTGAACTCAAAGTGTAAAAAATACAGAGGAGAAAAATTATATAACTCAGCTTTTTAGGAATAAGGTTAATAAAAATACATGTTTCTCTGTCCTTCTGTCATGACTTACACAGGCCCATTGGGGAGAAAGGTGCCTGATTTTATTGGTTTTGTTGTGTCCATGTAGCTTTTATGTCAGCTCAGAGTAAAGAGCCAGAAGAAATTGGTTTCTTTTCCCACTCTGCCATAGAGTAACCACAGAAGGTTCTTCAGAACAAAAAGCCCCTTTTTTTGAAAATGTCTGGGGCTAGTTTTGGAAGTGCCTAAATATTTCTGAATACTGACAGTGGGACTTAGCTTGCCCCTAAACTTGAAAGGGTTGGGAACCTGTGCATCCCCTCAGATGGTAGCTGCTCAGCAGATTGGAAAGTGAGACTGTTACAAGATCAAAAGGTTGTGGGTTCGGGGGTTGGTTGGTTTGTTTTTAAAGTGTTTGTCCCAGCTGTAAGGTGACTGGGAAATTTTTTGTCTTCAAAGGCATGTTTCCGAATGTTAAGTACAGACAGGATCAGGTACCCTTAAAGTAAACAACAGTCCCTTAAGCATCCTCTTAAATTAAAACATTGCTTTTCTTTGACTGACTGTTAACAGCATGAACAGGAAGTATGCATTATAATTTTATTACTATATTAAATGGATACATGGATTATAAGATTATTTTCTAGGTTTCTCAGATATCTAGTGTTAGTTTAAAGAATTTTTTCAATACCACCTTGTCATTACAGTAGCCTATCGAGAAGCAAAAAGTTGTCATGTAGTCAAATAAATAGTATCTGAGAGAATCACAACATAATATTAAGGGGATGATTTCAAAAGCATTTTAGTATGTCATGACAACATTTAAAGGTCACCTTTTGTATCTTCCTGACTCTTATATGTGTCTGTTCAAGAATTGCTAGGCTTTATGGTATGTATCAACTATTTTTAGAACCTACTAGTGATGGCCACTGTTGAAGTCATGACTGCTGGAGTTAGAACTGGTCATAGACTCACCAGCTGATGGTTCAGTCAGGCAACCTGCTGCATTTTGAGTTCTTAAAACTTTAGATGTCCATTACTATCTCTTTGGCTCTCCTCAATGTCATGAAGCTTAACATACCTTTCTCTCAGCAATTTCCTAATTGTTGTTTTGACTGTTTTAATAACATTCTTCTACTGATATTTTATAAAAACAAGGTGGAAAGATGGATTTGTGGCTTTTTTGCTTCCTCATTATGTAAAAATAAGGCAAGGAAAAATTTTTATTATTAATTAAACTGCAAGAACAAAACAGAGAAACAGCTTTTTACAATACATAAATGAGTATAGCTTTTTTTTTTTTCTGAAAGTCCAACAGAATGATGTACAGGGGAAAAAATACACGGTTTTGGTACCAAAACATGTGTGATGCTGTGTTGGGACAATTCACATGTATTGGCTATTTTGCTGTAAAATTTTACTGAAGGCATTCATTTTTATGATGATATACCTAGGTGAGATTGGCAACAACCTGACATTGGTACATTCTTGGACTTGCCTGGCTACCTTGGGTTTAGAAAAAAACCCAAAACATACAAAACACCTCAGCTGCTCATGCTCTTTACCTTCACTTTAATTTCATATCCTAAGTGTCAGAGCATGAGTTATCTTGCTATCAAAGAAAAAAAAACCCAAGAAATTAATCGTTTTGATAATAAATATCTTATCTTAAAGATCTAAGTGGGAAATAGGATTTGTTTGGGTGGTTTTGTTGTTTTCTTTTTTAATTTTAGTATTTTGGTTTTGTTAATATGTGCCAAGTCAAAGACCTGATAAAGCTATTGGCTGAAAAACTGATTTATTCAGGTTTTAGTGTCCAATCCCTTCAACTAACCATTGTTTAAGACCAGTTCCCGTGTCCATAACATTCCTAATAAGTCATCTTCGAAAGATGCAGTATTTCTGATGCTCACAGGATCCTGGTATATGAAAGAAATGTGAGTATTTCATTGCCCTGTTTGGATGTCAGCTGTGCTTGTTCGAGTGCACTACATCTGCATCAGGAGTGTTGAGCCACTGTGAGTAGATCATTTCAGTAATAATTTTTTTCAGG